CCCAGCTAATGTTTTGTATTTTTAGTAGAGACGGGGTTTCACCATGTTGACCAGGATGGTCTCGATCTCTTGACCTCGTGATCCACCCGCCTCGGCCTCCCAAAGTGCTGGGATTACAGGTGTGAGCCACCGCGCCCGGCCGCATTTTCATTTTTAATTGACAGAATCTTTGCATTTCATTACTTGAGTCATGAAGGCCAAATTAAAGAATGGCAGTCTAAAATACCCAGGAAAACAATTTCTATAAACAAAACAAATAAAAATTCTTTTTCAAGCCCTGTTGTTTGAATTAAATGATACTCCTGAGTCTGTATACTCATGTTTTTTTGTTGTTTTGTTTTTGAGATGGAGTCTTGCTGTGTCGCCCAGGCTGGAGTGCAGTGGCTCAATCTCCGCTCAATGCAACCTCCGCCCCCCGGGTTCAAGTGATTCTCCTGCCTCAGCCTCCCAAGTAACTGGGACCACAGGCATGTGCCACCACGCCTGGCTAATTTTTTGTAGTTTTGGTAGAGATGGTGTTTAACCATGTTAGCCGGGATGGTCTTGATCTGACCTCGTGGTCTGCCCGCCTCGGCCTCCCAAAGTGCTGGGATTACAGGTGTGAGCCACCATTCCCGGCAGTCTGTCTATTCTTGCCACATCATGTTAGTTGGATCAATGACTTAGATTCTCATGTACAGAACCGGTGCTGAATTGTTAAGCCGCCAAATCTTCTATTTTTGGTATATACTCAACAGTTGCCATTGAAGCTCATGGTGTTGAAGACATGGGCATTCTTAAATGGGTAACTTTACTATGATTAGCTCATTAGAATTTCTCTTGCAGATATATATATATGTATGTATGTGTATATGTACACAGAGTGAACATTTATTACATACTTCATGTGTGCTGTTTATGTTGTAGGCTAAGTGAATGTGAAATGGATATACAAGAGCCTCCTAAGGCTAGGCGTGATGGCTCACGCCTGTAATCCCAGCACTTGGCTGAGGCCGGTGGATCACAAGGTCAAGAGATCGAGACCATCCTGGCCTAACATGGTGAAACCCCATCTCTATAAAAGAAAACAAAGGGAAAAGAAACCCCATCTCTACTAAAAACACAAAAAATTAGCCAGATGTGGTTGCATGCACCTGAAATCGCAGGTACTCAGGAGGCTGAGGCAGGAGAATCGAACCCAGGAGGTGGAGGTTGCAGTGAGCCAAGATTGTGCCACTGCACTCCAGCCTGAGCACCAAAAGCAAAACTCCATCTCAGAAAAAAAAAAAACCCTCAGGTAGCTGATCATCTAGTGGTGGCCCAAAAATAAAAATGAGTTCAGGAACATCATTAGACATAAGTACAAAGTACTATATTATCAATTGTGATGAGCTAACTTTGAGAGGAAAGGGGAAATAGGAAGATTCTCAGTAGAAGTAATATGTGGAAAGCACCTTAGAGATCACGTAGTCTATTTTGCCCAGAGTAATTACGTCAGTCTTCCCTGCAGGTGGTTGTCTAGAGAAGTATATATGAGATTCTAATTTATGGTCTAGCATTGCAGCATCAAATAATAACCACTAATAACAAGTAGTTTTACATGCATTCAAGTGTTATTTTTTGAATTAGGGTCTGGCTCTGTCACCCAGGCTGAAGTGCAGTGGCAAGATCTCAAGTCACTGCAACCTCTGCCTCCTGGGCTCAAGTCATCTTCCCACCTCAGCCTCCCAAGTAGTTGGGACTACAGGCACATGTCAACACAACCAGCTAATTTTTGTAAAGGAAGGATTTCACCATGTTGCCTTGGTTGGCTTTGAACACCTGATCTCAAATGATGCCTTGGCCTCTCAAAGTACTGGGATTACGGTTGTGAGCCACTGCACCTGGCCAAAATTTTTTATTTGTTTAGAGACAAGGATTCCCTGTAAAGCTGGAGTGCAGTGGCATAGTCAGTTTTTCTCACTGCAGCCTCCAATTCCTGGGCTCAGGTGATCCTCCTGCCCCAGCCACCTGAGTAGCTAGGACTACAGGTGCACGCCAACATGCCTAATTTTTTTTTCTTTTTTGTGCAGATGAAGTCTGTGTTGTCTAGGCTAGTCTCGAGTTCAGGGCCTCAGGTGATCGTTTGGCCCCAGCCTCCGGTGTTGAGATTACAGGTATGAGCTTTTTCGGTAAAGGAAAAACTAGTGAGCATTTCACATTGTAGAATCCAAAAACATGAAAGCTCACTGTTTTTTCTGTCAATTTTACAGTTTTGTAAATGTACCCAGGTGAAGAGACTTGTCTGATTGTTACTATAGAAAGAAAAGCTACAAAAACAATTATTTTGTTAGTATACTGTTGAAGCATTTCTAAATGAGAGGTCCCAAGTTCTTGGTTAAGAAGGAACTTAAAAGTAACAAAACAGTAACAAACATAACTCAGCACTTAAAGCTAGAAATACAAGATGAGGAAGACAAGCAACCCCTGATTTTAAGCAGATTCCAGAGCAAATAAGATAAAATGTGGCCAAGCACTGAGCCTTGAGGACAATATTTAACCTCATAACAGTTCCTCTTTCCTCCTATAGGAGGCATGGTAGTGACTGTGTAAATGAAAGCAAACTGTTTTTCTGTGAAAATGTTAATGAAGTGGGTTCCTTTGGAATCAGT